ATTAGTAGTGCAATAATGAGTGCAGTATTAGAACACATACCTTGGATTAACATTAAGAAAATGGAGGCTCAGGAAAAAATGTCAATCCCAAAGTCAGAAATTTATAGAGAAATTAAGTTCTTATACTATTTACAAAAGAGAAGTAAGAAAAGCCCTTCTGCAAAGATTAATTCTGATAAGAGAGAAAGTTTAAATAAAAGAATTGAGAAAATAAATCAACTGCACTAAATACAAATCCTACAAATACCAGAGTATCGAAGTCAAATTCAATTAGAAGAAGTAAACAACTGGGGTAAAGTTCTTAGAAATAAAGTAGGCGATGAGGAGCGAAAAAAAAAGAAAGTGAAATTCGGGAAAAAATAAAATTGAGATTCGGATGATGGAAAAAAAATAAAAAGAAAATGCTCCAAAGCCTTCTAAATAGACCATATAACAAAATTACAATTGACAGAGTTCTGGTAGAGGAGAACTCCAGAGTCCACAACCTGGAATATTGATCAATGATGAAGGAGTAAAATGGCAAGTAATTTCTCACTTTGAAGAACAATTTAGAAAAAGGAATCAAAATTTCAAAGAGATGAAAGCGGAATGAAGAGAAGAATATAGGCCAAAAAAAAAAATTGTTCCTATGATATATAAGGGAGTAATAGACCTCCTTACACTCGAGGAATGGAAACAAGCTCTAAGTAAAACTAGAAATGATATGGCACCAGGAATCTCAAATATTGGCTATATTCTATTTAAGAAACTACCACATAGAGTAATTGAGAAATTATTAGTATTAATGAATGCAATTCTTGAACAAAGCAAGATCCCAGATAAGTGAAAACTCAGCCAGATATACCTAATCCCAAAAAATAGCTCCTGGGAATATAATTTAAGCAACACGAGACCTATAGTATTACTTGAAACATGTAGAAAAGTTTTAACACAAATGCTTCAAATAAGACTGGATAAAGTACTAAGTAAAAATAATATATTAAAAGGAGCAAATTTCGCAGGCTTGTCCGAGGAAAGTACATCAACCTCTATTCACATAATGAACAATATAATAGAAGAAGTGGTAGAAAAAAAGGAGCTTTGGGTTACTTTTCAAGATATAAAGAAAGCATTTGACTTAGTCAGTATGGTCTTACTTAAAAAAGCTTTAGAAAGAATTAAACTTCCAGTGAAAATAATTGAGATAATAATGAAGTTATATGAAAATAGACAGCTCAGCATTATAACAGAGTTTGGAAGTACAGATTTCATAAAAGCAGGAGATGGTATAGACCAAGGAGAGGTACTGTCTCCGTTGGTTTGGAGGATTTTTTATGATTCTCTGCTCTGTAGGATACAAAAAGCTGAGCTAGATTACAAAATGTATAACACAGAAACATATATAAACTTAAAAAACACTGAAGTAAATATTAGAGTAGAAGTGTTAGCATATGCGAATAACACAATATAGTTGACAAATAGTCAAAAAAGCATACAAAGTACAATTGATATTGCACAAGAGTTTTATAAGCTAAATGATATTGAAATAAATTCAAACAAGACTGAACTCATGTATTTAAACTGGGTAAAAAGAAGTATACAGAAGACTCTGCAATCTGAATAGGCAATCTGAGAATCAAAATTATAGCAAAAGATTCTAAAGAAACTACAAAATTCTTAGAAGTCTGGATGTCAATCAAGAATCAAAAAAGGTCTAATATATACAAGGCCAAAAGCATAGTAGACAGGATCACAAGCTTACTTAAGCACAAACAAATGTCTTTAAGCCAGATCATATATATAAACAATGCAATTCTTATACCTACTCTAGAATATAGATTAATGATCTTATGTTTAACTAAAGCATAGTGTGAGTGAATATATCAACCAATAATCTGTCTGATAAAATGGAAAATATCAATACCTTCTATAATAGCGAACATAATGACAAAACACCCAAAGATAACAGATCTTAAAAGTCTTTGGAATAGATATATGGAGCATTACATATCAGAGTTACTAGTTAGATTAAATATACCAGGTTTATTAAAAGAGTTGACAGTAAGAAGGCTTAAGCAAGGCCAGATAAGAGCAGGATCATTGAACTGTATATTAACAAATTAGAATGTATTAGTAAAAGAAGAAACAAAAGTTCACAACTTAGATATAAATATTTTACAACAAGCATATAATTTGAGCTTTGTAATATAAGAAAATGAAATTACAAAGAGTTGGAACTTAGACATTACATAAATGGTGAATAATGAAGAGATTGCATGTGTCTTTGAGCGTTTGAACATAGCCTACGAGAAAACGAAAGCAAGCAGTCTGGGTCTATTTTTGGTTTCACAACTTATCACAATAGATAGCAAAACAATGTATACATGGAATCAAGTCAAACTAGCAGGTGGCAAGGGTTTAAAAGGAAAAAAAGCAGGCTGGTTCGCTGTATTAAAAAGAGAAATGCTAGAAAATTCGTTTACACGAGTAGTCAAAAACAGATATAATTGCGAAGCAAATAATTTTAATGCACTTAGCTTAGAGACAAAAGAACCAAGTGCTGACAAAAGAATGAAGAAGTAGGTTTGTTGGAGAGATGAAGCAAGTGCAATGCTCAATGTAGGAAAGGTTAAAGAAAAATAAAATGCTTATATAGAAGTTGAAAAATACAAAGAAACAACATATTGTTATAAAAACAAAATACAGCAGTTATTAGTAATTGATGAAAAAGGTGAAACTTATATAGTTAAATGTAGAAAACTTAGAGACATTTCAAATATAGTTCAGAAAACAGAAAAGAGGATGAAGCTGATTTTTAAAAAAAGACACATAGAAAAGATAGACGGTAAAAAGAAAGAGAAAGTAGTTGTCAAAGCAAAAGAAATGAAAAGAATAAAAGAGAAAGGCAAAATAGGTATAGAGTAGAAATAGTTTTAGTTAATAGAATAGTTCAAGATGATGTAGTTAGATCTAGAATAGCAGAAAGTTTAAAACAAAATAGAGAATTAGACAATTTATTCTTTTATACAGATGGCTCACTTGGTATGGCTAAAGAGGAAGAAGAATTAGTAATGGGATGTGGAGTAATTCAAACTACAGAAACAGATTAGCTGTTGCAACAAATGTCTTGTGCAACAAAAAGGTGATTCTCATCTACAAGAGTGGAAATGGTAACAATATTATTTGCATTACTAACTACACTCTGGGGAAGAAGAGTAGAAATAAGAACAGATAGTAAAGCAGCAATATTAGCAATCAAAAGAGGCCTAGAGATAGATAAGATCAGACCTTGGTTGAAGATGAAGAATTGTGGTCTGTTAACAACAATTGTAGAGGTAATCAAAACAAAGGAACTTAATATACACTTTATAAAGATTAAGGGTCATTCAGGTGATATATTTAATGATCTTGCAGATTTGAAAGCAAAAGAAGGTTTTAAGTCAACTGAGTACCTAAACCCAGAAACATTGTATATGAAAGGCCACAAAATAAAATACATGTGGAAAGGTAAATTAGTTAAAAAGCCTATATACTCTTTTGTTAAAATGTTGAAGAGAGTACTATTAAAAGCAGAATGGGCTTTTCTATATAACATGTATGATGAAACTCACCAAGAAAGAAAGTGTACTCAATTTTGGTCTTTGCTGCATAATATAATGAGGAATAGAACTAGACAATGAAACCATACTTTCAAATCAAATACACTACAGCTTTTTGAAATAAAGTGTATAAACAACATGCTTCCAGTATTAGAAAAACTTAATCAGAGAAAGCCGGAAACATATAAGACAGACAAATATATTATATATAAAAAAAAGAAAAAGAATGTAGAACATCTGGTAAGCTGCAAAATTTCTCTGAACCTTCTTTGCGACTTAGAAGAGCAAGTAGTAGAAGCAACCCTGCTTGAGTTAAAAAAGTTAGAATGCATGAAGACAACCAAAAAAGAAGTCTTAACAATGCTAGGAAAGGGATCTCAAACTAAAGAATTACGCAGAAGAAAAAGATAGATCAGAGGCTTTATCACAAAAGAAGACTTCGATGAGTTGAGACCTCTTTTCAACTCAAATAATTAAGCAAAGAGCTTCCTAGGTAGACTTTGGAAGAATTGGATGAAGGAAGTATATGAGAGAATATGGGTTGCAAGATACAAACTAGTACAAGAATAGGAGAAAAAAAATGAAATTGCATCAAAAGATAAAAAAAGATCACAGAAAAAAGCAAGAAAGAAAAAAAAGAAGAAACCACCAGATAAGCATACTGGAAAAAAAGAAAAAGATAAAAATGAAGAAGAGGATAAAAGATGGGTTTCAATTTTAGAGATAACTAAAAAAGAAGTTTTAAGGTGAATTGAAGAAAGACAATGGTCAGATTGGTGGAAAACTAATATGTAGTCTTGACAGGCAGTAAGATCCAGCTGGTGACATATTATTGAAGCCAATTGCAGGATAAGATAATACAGAGGCGAATCTTACTATAGCAGGTCACACATAGGTACTCAGTGAGCAACTGGGTAAGTCTTCACTTGTAATTTAGGTACTATAGAGTATAACTCCGTAAAAAATTTTAATAGTTTAGATAATTATTACAAAGCCTAATAATGTGAAGGTAAGACTGCCAAATTTATCAAAAAAAACTTTTTTATATAAACTTGCCTTGTTATAAAGTAGTAAATTTTCTTTAATAACCAACATATTATAAAAATGTTTGAGTTACAATAATTTACAACTAAAATATCTCAACATTATTAATATTTACTATAAGAATAAAAATTATTTTTATTAAAAAATTGTTTCAGTAAATATTAAAACTATTTTTCTTCAAATTTCAAAATGATATAAAAAATAATAAAATTATTCTAATATATAATAAAGTTTTCAGAACTTTAAAATATAAGCTCTAATAAACAATTGAATGTAATAAAATTAATATATAATTAAATTTGATTATAAAAAAATTATCAAATTCTGAAAACCTTTGTGTATATTGTATATATAACCTGCAAGCATTTTTTAATTAATTCAATTATCAGCAATTGTTTGTTCTGCCTCTAGTTTAGTTTTTTCCTCATTAGTTTCACTTTTCTCCCCTTTCTGCACATTACTTTCGTCAATATCAAGTTTTTTCTCAGCTTTTTCTTTTCCAACATCAACTAATGCCACAAAGCTTCTAGTTATTAAATTAAACATACTTCCAAAAAACAACGCGATAACTGTACATGTTAAAGTTATAACATTATACGGCATACTAAAATCTGGAGTTGGCAAACTAATTAATAATGTTTCTGTATATATACGAATTGGAAAATGCATATATTCCACTAGTGATTTTTTTGTTGCAAGTGGCATGTTTGTCGAATTACTATTATTCATAATTTTTGTAAATTATTTTTATAAAACAATTGATTAATTCTTGCTAAAGAGAGCTTTGACAATCTGGTTATAAAAATTGCTATTATGAATTGAAAAATAATAGGCACAAAACATACCTCAAAAAATCATCATCAATCTTTCCTGTAGAAATAATCGCGCTTCCAATATCAAATCCTCTATTAGCATCAGGTGGATGTTCTGTATATTTTAAAAATACTTTATCAAATTTTATTGATAATGCTGTTAGTGAGTTTGGTGGTAATAACATCTCAGCTTCAATAACATTTGGCCGGGACCTGTCCACTGCTGGTTGGTAGTATAGATCTTTAATAGGATTATCTTTATTTTATTTTTTTTTATAAGTTGATTAATAGAAGTTTGTAAATTTTGACTGAATATAAATTATAATAATCAAATACCTGCATCAAGTTTTGTATTCTTCCCATTTATCTGGACTTTGAATGTGTGCAGATATAACTTCAAATACCAGGGTATAACATCATAATATATTATGGGTATAGAGGTATTTGGACTTTTGTTAAATATATTAACTTTTATTCCACCTCTTTCTTGACCATAGCCTATAAAGCATTAATGCACCAATATTATGAAACAAAGATATAATAATGAAACCTATAATTATAATGAGCCATGTATATTGACCTGTAAAAAATCGATGTGCAAAAATTCGTGGCTGAACAGGATTAAAATCTAAAAAAAAAAGGAGGAATTCAAATTAAATTAAATAGGCATGATGCCAATTATCACTATTAAAATCGAGCTAAAAATGCACTATACTATATTCAAATTGTTCTTCATTCCATCTCATTGAAAGTTCTGTATTTGGCTCAACTAAAGAATGATTTTACAAATATAAATAAGTATATCAACACTTTATATTTTTTAATTTAACAACTATAATATATACTTTTTTTAAGATTATATACTGCAATCTTCCTTTCAACATCACCATCGGTATCACCCATACTTCTTTGAATTATATCATCTGCATCTGGAGTTATTTTATAATCATCGTGTTCTGGTAATATTATTTCAAGATTACTTTCTTCCGCTAATGGGCAAGCTTGCGAAAGTCGACGGCCAAAGACCTTGTTTAATGACCAATCTTGAAACAGAATGTCGATTTTTGTTTTTTTTAATTGCTTTATAATTAATTCTTGATATTAAAGGAACTATGATATATAATTCAACCTCTTTTTCCTGAATTACGAACTGGATCTATGACTGTTGATACGGTTTGGATAATTTCTAATTGCTGGTTTATACAATCAGGCTCCTATGGTAAATAAGAAATAAATATACTTCTTAAATTAATACCATCATTGGCAAAGTTTTAGTTTTACCAATTTACCTCACATGACGGCCGAACGTGGATTGACATTGAATGAAAATTCGAATCATACAACTTGTGTCCATTCAGAAGTGACGCTATACCAGACTTTTATAACGTGAAATATTAGTAAATTAAGTAATAAAGAATTTAGAAAATTATCTAATTAACCTACTGTGGATTTGCATGGGAGAAGTTTAATCCAAGGCGTCAGGTTCTCAGTACAAACGTTTTCGTGAGGTAGAGAACCATATCTTAATTCAGCCCTCTCAGTTAATTCAGTTGCTATATTAATATTAAAATTTACAACAATATTAACATTTAGTAACACATATCCACTCGGTCAAAAATCTAGAATAAAAAATTATTTACCATTAAATGAGCCTTCCGGTCGAAATGATAATTTAGGTTGAACTGTAATCGTATCATCAATAAAATTTAAAGATGCACAAAAAAGGCCAGCAAGAGCGTTTGTCAATGACTTCCAATTTTTATCCAATCTGTCAACAATAAATGAGAACAATGAAGAATAAAAAGGGATAAGTTTAATAAAGATAAAAAATCAATGCTTTACAAAAAACAATAATTACCCAAATTACCAACACGCACTTTCCATCTTTCCATAGCCAAGCCCATAACTCAACTCCAGTTCCAGCTGATGATACAGAAGGATATCCCCAATCTTCATAATTCCAGCGACCTTGAGTAAACGTTAAATGTAATTCTCGAACATTATAAGTTTGGAAAATTTGGCCAATTGCGCGAGGGAAAATATTATAATGACTAACTACATAAATTGATAAATTTTATTATTTCTCTAAAAAAAAACTCTTTAGTTATTTAATTCAAGGTTTTACAGTAAAAAATTATTTGCATACAAGCTACACCCTCCTTATATCCATAATGTTTAACACTGAATTGAAAATGAGTTAATAATTTTCCGTCAGATAGCGGTTTTATTGTGAGTGCTTCCTTGAATTTATCGGGTTGTTGAGACTCAGCAAGAATTTCATTAATTGTTAGAAACACAAGTGTTAATAGAAATGAAAACCAGAGATAGTTTCTCATAATGTTTTTAAACATACTTTTGATGTGATAATGTAAAAACTGGATGCTATGAATACCAAAATTCCGCTCATGTGATCAAATCGACCAATCACAGATCAAGCTGTTAAAAATTGACCAGCCAATCAGCATTAGATGTACAGAAGTTGTCGCAAATGAGATAGTCACATTCCAGCATTCTGATTGGACAAAATTATTCAATCATAATTAAATTCATCAATTAGATAGGTGGTTGTCGAGATATCTTCGCTCAAAGTTCAGAAAACTGTTTTGATAGTTATTCAAGTTTTTTTCTGAACTTTGAGTTAACGAAATTTTTTTATTTTAATTATACAGGTATTAGAATCAGAATAAAAAAAAATTTTCACCGATTTATAGGTGGTCGTCGAGATATCTTCGCTCAAAGTATGGAAAAAACTTTGCCGCGGTTTGCAAAAAGAGGAAATCTCTGAGATTTTAGATTGTCTGTTGTTTTATATTTTTGAATGGTTACGTTTATATTTCTTTGAAATCAATAAAAATCTTAAAATCGATGGAATTTCCGATTCCCACACGACATTGTGATCTGCAGAGGCCACATCTTTTGCAAAGCACAATAAACTTTGAGCAAAGATATCTCGACAATCACCTATTTAAAATCGATGAAACTTTTTTTATTTTAATTATACAGCCATATAGATCAGAACAAAGAATTTTTCATCAATAGGCGATTGTCGAGATAACTTCGCTCAAAGTTTAGAAAAACTTGAAAACTATCAAAACAAGCTGCGGCAAAGTTTTTTCCAAACTTTGAGCGAAGATATCTCGACAGCTGCCTATCAAATCGATGAAAAAATTTTATTCTGATTCTATAAGCCTGTATAATTAAAATAAAAAAACTTTCATCGATTTTAGATAGGTAGTTGTCGAGATATCTTTGCTCAAAGTTTAGAAAACCGTATAACTATCAAAGCAAAAGCTGCGGCAGAGTTTTTTTTCAAACTTTGAGCGAAGATATCTCGACAACCACCTATCAAATCGATGAAATTTTTTTTATTCTGATTCTGTATGCCTGCATAATAAAGTAAAAAAATTTCATCGATTTTAGATCGGTTTGGTTGTCGAGATATCTTCGCTCAAAGTTTAGAAAAAACTTGGATATCAAAACAAAAGCTGCGCCAAAGTTTTTTCAAACTTTGAGCGAATATACCTCAACAACCACCTATCTGAAAATTTTTAAACTGGTTCTATATGCCTATAATTAATATATATCTAAAATTTTAGTTAGTTGGTTGCCAAGATATCTTCATTAAAAGTTTGAAAAAAAAAATTATAATTGAATAATTTCATCCAATTAGAATGTGACTGTTCAAGTAAAGTTAATTTAGTTTGATATAGTTAGGCTATAAAAACTTTTTGGTTCTTATGACTCAGCCAGTTAGACAGATCCAAAATAAAAAATTTTAATTTTAGATGCTTGATTATAGAAAACTTAAAAATATCTAATTTTTTCTTAATTAGTTATGCAGTAATTTTTTCAGCAAAAAATTTTTTTAAAACCTTTTCAAATATAAGGATTCATTATATTAAAGGCTGGCAAAGTAATGACGCAGTTCAGATTTTCAAGAGACCTACACATAGGTTTTTATCAATTATACAGTATTTCATTAAAAAGTTAAAATGATATAACAATAATTTGATTATTAATCGACATTAAATCTTAAGTCTTCAATCAGTGTTATTAACTTTTTTCAACGATCACTTGGACCAAAATTTCCCACAAAAGAAAAGTCAAGTTTGGATACTGAAGTGTAAAATAATACCTGTAGTGGGTAGACAACAGTACAGTTTTTATAAAGGTCAAACTTTTGTACTTTATGAGAACTTCTTTATATATTCGGCATGCAAGCCAAAAGCACTCTTGTATACAAAATTTTGGTAGGGATTATGGTTTTCCTTTGTCAATGAAGCATTCTGTTGCAAATTAACCAGAGAATAGTAAAGAACTTGCTATTTTCAAGTCACACTCTTTTACTTGGTCAAGTGACTCCTCTTTTACTTACTTCCGCTTTCTTGCTGGTCTTCCAAAATTTTTTACAAAAAGTGAGGAATTTGGCTTACTCTCTCCAAAAGATCGACATTGTTTACTTTTCAAATTTGGACAGACTAGTGAAATGCAACCACATATTTGTTTATGAATGAATATGGCACTACTTCATGAGACCCGGGCTGGGAACTTTCGAGCAATGGAGCTATCCAGAGTTGATAGAAAGGTTGAAAAGTAAATTTAATGTTAAAACGAAGCTTTACAGTAGAGATATACAAATGTTGTATTTGTTATATAATTTTTATCAGTCACACATGAGTTATAATAGTGCCTTCAGAGTTTTAGATTTCTTTTCATGTTTTTTCTTTTCTGCAATCATTGTT